TATATATATATATATAACGGCTTTAATGTACACTAATATATATTGGGTATTTTATTAATTGAGATATCACACTTTTAGGGGTTCTGCACAATAAAAGGAACAGGGAACAGAGAACAGAGAATAAGAATTTTAACCTACCAGAAACTGTGTATTCCAAAATACATGATTTCTGATAGAATTCTTATTCTCTGTTCTTTATTCCCTATTCCTTTTAGGCCGATATTTCATTTGTGCGTTTTTATCGTACGACAAGCTTTTCCTGCGTGTTGATTGGCTATAGGATAGAGAGATCCGAGGACCTCTCTGTCTTGCACACATTTGTCTTACAACAAAAACACACAAATGAAATATCGGCCTGTTGTGCGGAGCCCTTATAGTCAGATTAGAGGTGCGTTCCGTAACGCGCATGATGCGCATGATGCATCCATTATCCTTGTTTAACATTTGGTGAGCAACAAGGATAAACGACGCATTATGCGCATCATGCGAGAAACGGAACGCACCGTAGGTTAAAGTACAACAGCTTAAAAGCCGCGACACAGACTTTTGCATAAAGCATAATGCATAGTGCATGAACGAATCAACTAATCAGAATCTTTCCTTTCCTCTCATTCCATGGAAAAGAAGAATTTCAATTGGTTGATTCTCTTATGCATTATGCGTTATGCGTTATGCAAAAGCTTGTATCTGGGCTCTTAAGGGCTTCACACATGAAATGCATAACAGAGCATAAGCATAACATAAGACTGCTGGACCAATGAGCATCTAGCATAATGTCGCCATATTGATTTACATAAGATGCTCATTGGTTTAGCGGCCTTATGTTATGTTTGTGCTCTGTTATGCGTTTCATGTGTGAAGCCCTTTAGGGCCCAGACACAAGCTTTTGCATAACGCATAATACATAGTGCATAAGCGAATCAACTAATCAGAAGCTTTCCTTTCCTCTCATTCCATGGAAAAGAAGAATTTCGATTGGTTGATTCCATTATGCACTATGTATTATGCGTTATGCAAAAGTGTGTGCTGCGACCATTAATGTGCACTGAGAGGGCACGAATTTTGCCAGTGAAAACTATACGCAGTTAACGCAGTATATGTGTGCCTTCCAACAAGCGACGCAAACGATACGGTGTGACATATGGATCATTATATCCTTGTTGTTTGCCAATATTAAACAAAGATGACATGATCACTGTGTCGCACTATGGTCTAGTTTACACCCAGGGTCCGATCCGAGTCGGAATGTAAGAATCAACCAACTGCAATCGAGTATTCCCCTGTTACAATCGAATGACAAGGGAATGCTCGACTGCAGTTGATTGGCTCTTACATTTCGACTTGGATCGAACCCTGGGTGTAAACGAGGCCTTATCGCTTGTTGGAAGGCACATATGACTACATGTTCGTATTATAGCATTTTGCTGCATTCTGTAGTGTGAGATTTTTTTTAACCTTATTCGTCAACTTTAACGATTAATATTTCAGTTCACGAAGCAGAGCGACACTTTTTTCTTGTCAAATCGATTTTTACGCATCGATTTAGTGTGTTTTTATCAAAATTTGAAGTGGACGAACTCTTAACATTTACCGTAAATTGTATATTTTGTTGAACAAATTGCACAAGGAAAAATGTGTTCGTTAAACGATTGCATATTTGATGGTAACGATGATGACATATCTAAAGAAGATTTATCGTCGTAAGTAGAATAATGACAAATAAATAAGAAAACATAAGATTATTGGTATAGATTGATATTTGTTTTCAACAGAGATACGACACTATGCAGAAAATGCAGATGCGTAAACGCCGATATTTTATTACTTGGCCAAAGCGGTTATTGCAAAACTTGTTTCCTAAATGTTACAAATCACAAGTTTAGAGCGGCACTTGGTAAATCTAAAATTATTCGCCACGGTGACAAAATATTGATCCATTACTCAGGAGAATTAAATTCCACTGTGCTCTTACATCTCATTAAAGCTGGTATGAGCGAATCTGCTCACAAAAAACTTATTTTTGAGGCAGTAATTTTGTATGTAGATGGTAAGTTTCTTACTTATATAAATCAAGAATTTTGATAATTTTGTGATAATAGGGACCACCCTACGATGACCTTAATATGTCATTAAGATCATAGTGGAAGGATACAAGGTGTATAATTGCACATAATGGCAACAATAGAGAGAAAACAATCAAATGTTTGTCACATATCAACTGCGAAAGCAGCATTTGACAGCTGATTCAGCTGTTTCAGCTGATTCAACTGTTTGCACTGTCACGACATATTTTACTAGGTGCGTTCAGCAGAGAAAGCAGCTTTGCAACTGTTCAAAAAAATTCTTCAATATGATTGGTTTATACATTTAGATCTATAAGGAACCAAAAGCAAGAACCATTCAGTATAAAGGCAGTTTTTACTTAAAATAATTTAAGAATAAGTAAAATATTTATGTGTCAAAGGCATGAAAATCTAATATACATCCTAGAATATAGTCCTTTGCAATCGAATTACAAATTGTATTTATTCAATATTTTCACGTTAAAAAAAATTAATACATTCATTCAAGTCTTCATTTAAGATAACATATAATTTTATATAATAAATTTTTATTTGAGATGACATTTTTATCATAAATTCGTTACTATATACTGCGCTGTTTCATTAGTCTGCTACCTGGCATCATTGTAAAAATGAATGAAAATACACATTCGAATACACTTTTTTCCAATGGAAATTTTATTGTTTTTACAGCTTTTTATTTTCTCTTGCAGGCTTGCAAGCTATGTGCAGATAATATAGAAGTAAATGGTAAAATGAAAATATTTGTAACCATATTCAAAAAATATTCATTTAAATGGAATAAAAAAGTATTCGTTTCTTGATGAATAAAAAAGAAATGTATTTGAATGGATATTTTCATTTATTTTTTTATTCATTTATTCGAATATTAGATGTATTCATTGGACACACTTTTGTGCCCTTGCTTTGTGTAGAAAATCATTACATAAGCAGGGAAGGATGTAGAATAGTTCTTAATATTGTATATAGCAGAAATAAGACGTTATTTAAAAAATTGTTTATTAATAACTTTTTGAGGAACAACTGCTGCCTATCACCTGTTGGAGGTCAGTAGGAATCTCAATATGTAAAGGTCAAGCTCATTGAAGGGTGGGATCCATTATTGTATAATTAGCAGAATATTTTATATTTTATTGTGTTTAATTTTTTATCATGTGATATTTTAAGATTGAGAAAGATTATGTGTATGTGTGTATATGTTGATAGATAATATGCAAAAAACCAATGAAAGGGACATACTGCGACATAAAATTGCTGATGAAACAAAGGCCTCTGGATTTAACAGTTATGCTGTGTCAATGAGTCAAATTTTAAGTGAAGAGGATACTTTGGATATAAAACCTATAGATCGAGAGATAAATTATGAAAATGATAATCGACTGCATGCGATATTGGCTAACTTATCGGACGATACCTCGAGGACGGATTTTCTCAATCAGTTGCGTCGAAGACTACTCCTATCGGCAGCTCGGAAACTTAATTGTAACAAGATATTTGTAGCTGATTCTGCTGCGGACATCGCTATGAATGTGCTTGGTGATGTATGCTTAGGACGAGGCGCGCAACTTTCCATGCAAGCAAACTTTTGCGACGCTCGATGTATCGACATTAAGATACTCAAACCAATGAGAGATTTTACGCAGCAGGAGTTAGTATATTATTCAGAGTACCATAAAATAAATCCTGTTAAATCAATAGAAGACAGTATACCGGCAACTTCTGTACAGGCATTAGCACGCAATTTCACGATGGAACTGGAATCTCAATTTTCTAGTACAATATCTACCGTATACCGCACAGCCGATAAAATAAGCCCGAGGAGCAACGTACAACAAAGTATAGAAAATAATTGCGCACTTTGTGATGCAATATTGGACTTTGTCCCTTCTGGCAATGAAGTGACTGCCATGAGGGCGATCGAGGTTTCTAAATTAGTGTCTTCCAAATGCATCGATACAATAAGTTCTAATAATGAAAAAAACGGAGAATCAGATTACCTCTTTACACACTCGGACAATAATGGATGCTGTAACGATAATGTCAACTGTAATTGTGAGAACAATAGAGAGAGACAAGTAACGACAGAGGACGTTTGGAGAAATCTCTGTTATAGTTGTAGACAAATATTTCGAAATTCGGATATTTTACACAATTTGCCATTACCACTGTTACTCGCCGTTCAACAAAGAGCAGCTTTAAAGAAAATGAGAGAAAAAATCAGTGACTTTTTGTTATAAATAGAACATATAGAAATAAAAGAATTTTTACTTTAAAATCTAGCGTACAAAGCGATAAAAAACAAGAGATATTTATACATTAATAAAATATAATGTGTTATTATTTGTATTTCATGTATTAAATTATTTGTTATATGTATTAGTTTTTTCGCGCGAAACACAGAAACCTTCTCTTTTATTTATTTAAACCTCTCTCTTATCATTATTTATTATTTCTATATATTGAGCTACGCTCATATTGCTTTGGTATATCTATTCTAATTAGTCAAATTGAATTTGAGAATTTTTGCTAGATAAAAGTAGTCAAGATGACAAATAATTTCAAGAAATGAGAAGACAAGTTGCAAATTCGCATGTCTGCGCGGAAACGCGGAAGACAAAATTAACTAAACTTTACTAGATTTATGCGTTTCCGCACGTTCTGTTACGCGTGTTCTGTTTTAATCTAATATTCCATGGAGCACAATTTCCATGGAAAAGCGGAACGATATAGTGACAAATACATTTTTGTATTCATTTAAAAAAATTGTATTCACTTAATTCATTGCAATTTTTATCAATATGCTTATCTTTTCAGCTTACGTATTGAACACAAGCATTTTAATCAATAAATACCGTTAAAAATTAATAATTTCTAATTTTCCGTTCCGCTTTTCCGCTCAAATTGTTCTGCATGTAATATTAGAAGATCAAAATTTCTTCTATTGTGCGTAGGGCCTTTAAGACTTAAGACACCTATTGTAGATCTGAGGTCTACCTATTGTAGGATTGTAGATCTGTTTTTTGTGGGTGAACTAATGTACAGGGTGTTACAGATACATACTAGGCAGTACGACGGGTTGCGTGGCAAACTTTGCATGGGCAGATGCGGTTTTATAGACAATGACAGTGACTTTATAACATAAATTTTATAATATAAATAATAAAACTTTGTAGTATAAACTTTATAATGTATAAAGTCACTGTCATTGTCTGTTAAACCATGTTTGGCCATGCAAAGTTTGCCGCGCAATCCGTCGTACTGCCTAGTATGTATCTGTAACACCCTGTACACTTTTGGAACTTAAAGTGAGATAGATATACGTTTTGTAGGGACACACTTCACACACTCCGCGACTAGATGGCGCCTAACGTAAGAGTAAAACTTGTAAAGATTTGTTCGCGTCGCATGCTCCAACATGTTCCTGCCATAGTTCCTACTCACTCTAATGAGTGCATTGGAGCTATGATAGGTGCATATTGGAGCATGTTGGAGCATGCGACGCGAACAAACCTTATAAGTTTCCTATCTACATGAAAACCAACCGTTATTCTTCCCTTTGTGCACACTTGTATACAGATAGAACTTTATAGAATCTCCTTAGAATATAAGATAGACTCAGCATCTATAGTACATGTTGGGGTTTGGCAGAACGGTGCGAGAGGCAAGATATCGGGGCAACCTGTCCTTCTCTGCGCGTGCATCTTGACATTCTTGACAAAATCAAAATGGCTGACTACGTTAGGATCGTCTGGATTCTTTGCCCATTGTGTTACTTTGCGTCACCCAGTATTTCTGATGGGCAAGGAAAAAATATTCTGTTACGCTTAAATGAAGCATATGTTGTACGTATTGTATGCATATACATAAGTAGAAGTTAAAATGTTTTATTTACGTCTGAAAGAATATTTTTTCCTGTTTCAAATTTCTTTTGATACCCACATGCGTTGCACGTCTCCATATTCAATTTTTTTTACAAAAGAAACAATACTAACAGTTATTAATAATAGGTGCAAAGAATACAGACAATTCTAACGTAGGCAGCCATTTTGATTTTGTTAAGATTGTCAAAATGCGCGCGCAGAGAAGGACAGGTTGCCCCAATATTTTGCCTCTCGCAGTTCGCACCGTTCTGCCAAACCCAGCATATACTATAGAAAAGTATACGGATGCTGGGTCTATCTTATATGTCTATGAGAATCTCCTTCATCGACATCTAGAATGGACCGCTGATGGCAATGGTGGGGATAGAAAGACGATTAGAGTGAGAGGCAGG